CTGGGTGGCTTAGTCAGTTAAGTATTTGACTCTTGATCTCAGCTCAGGTCTTGATCTCTGGGTTGGGCTCCATGCTGGGTGTGGAGCCTACTTTATTTTTTTAAATATTTTTATTTATTTATTCATGAGGGACAGAGAGAGAGAGAGAGAGAGAGGCAGAGACATAGGCAGAGGGAGAAGCGGGCTCCACGCAGGGAGCCCAATGTGGGATTCGATCCCAGGACTCCAGGATCACGCCCTGGACCGAAGACAGGTGCTAAACCGCTGAGCCACCCAGGCGTCCCAGCCTACTTCTAAAAAAAAAAAAAAAAAAAAAAAAGAGTCACAATAACATTAACAGGTATAAAATAGGTATCAAAATATACACAGAATATATATATATATAATATATATATATACACAGAAAATTCTAACTCCTATCTTCACAATCCATAATCATTTTGGGCATTTTTTTTCTGTATTTCTTTCTGCAAATATCAGGAAATGCAAATATATTTATTCCTGTTTTTCACCCTTTCCTAAAGGGAAGATAATATAATTTGCACACTATTCTGTACCTTCCTTTCCACTTGTTATATCCTACAGCACATTGTCCTTCCGTTTTACAGTGGTGATGTTTATTTAAGCAGTTCCCTGTTGACAGGCCCTTGGCTGCTTTCCAGTCCTTCTGCCATTACAGATGACGCCACGGTGTATGACCTCATTCACAAGCCATGTCATACCTGTGCATATCTATCTATACAACCGAGCCCCAGAGGCGGAACAGCTAGGTCAGAAGATAAATGCATTTGAATTTTTTATAGGCGATGCCACACCGTTCTCTGTAAGGGTTGTACAATTCTGCGTCTTCACCACCCGAGCTAATTCCTTACAGCCACACCACGTCCTTTCAAATGTTAAGTTTTTTTTCCAACTGGCTTGTGAGAAATGGTGTCTAGGTAGTTTAACGTGGATCTCTCTTTTTTTATATAAGATTTTATTTATTTATTCATGAGAGACACACAGAGAGAGAAGCAGAGACACAAGTAAAGGGAGAAGCAGAGGGAGAAGCAGGCTCCCTGCTAGGAGCCCGATGCGGGACTCGATCCCAGACCCCAGGATCACGCCTTGAGCCAAAGCAGATGCTCAACCGCTGAGCCACCCAGGCATCCCTAACATGGATCCCTCTTAAGAGTGAGATGAAGCATCTTTTGATGTTTAAGGACCATTTGCATTACTTTTTCTATGAACTATTTCCTCTGCCATTTTTCTATTGGGTTCTGGGTCTTTTTCATACAAAAGAAAAAGGTCTGCTTAAATTGTCTATTGCTATGTATGATGTTGTGATTTATAAAAAGAAATGTGTTTGATCTTTGTCCTATTCCCTCTTCCCTCCTCCCCCAGGGAGCTCCCCAAATCCTCAGAATTTATGAGACTAGTGAGCCTAACAAAGGTGACTTTTGACCCCCACCCAAGGATGGGAGCTGGCTGTAGAGAGAACCAGCCAGCATAAAATATTGGACCTTTCAGTCCCAGCCCCCTGATCTCCTGGGAGGGAGAGGGGCTGGAGACTGAATCAATCTTACCATTGGCCAATGATTTCATCACTCATGCCTATGTAATGAAGCCTCCATTAAAAAAAGACAGGGTTCTGGTAACTTCCAGGTTGATGATAACATGGAGATTTGGGGAGAGTGGCTCCCCTAGAGAGGGCATGAAAGCTCCGTGCCCCTTCCCCATACCTTGCCCAATGTATCTCTTCCATCTGGCTGTTCCTAAGTTCTATTCTTTCATAACAAGCCAGTGTTCTAGTAAGTAAAGGATTTCCCTGGATTTTGTGAGCCACTTTAGCAAATTAAAGAAACCCAAGAAAAAAGAAAAAAAAATAAAGAAACCCAAGGAAGGGATCGTTGGAACCTCCAATCAGAAGCACAGGTGATGGGACACCGGGGTGACTCAGCAGTTGAGCGTCTGTCTTTGGCAGAGGGCATGATCCCCAGAGTCCTGGGATGGAGTCCCACATCGGGCTCCCTGCCTCTCTGCCTATGTCTGCCTCTCTCTGTGTGTCTCTCATGAATAAACAAATAAAATCTTAAAAAAATAAAAGAAAAGAAGCACAGGTGATAACTTGGATTTGTCACTGGCACATGATGGAGAGAGCAATCTTGCAGGACTAGGACCTTAACCTGTGGGATCTGACTCTTTCCCCAGGGAAACAGTGTCGCAGTTGAGTTGAACTACAGAACACCTAGAGGGTGTCAGAGAATTGTTTGTTCGATGGTGCGGGGAAATCCCTCATGTTAGAATTAATGATCACAACCTTTATTATGTAACAATCCATTCCAAACCATAGTGGCTTAAAAAAACAATGATTTATTGTTCCTCAGGATTCTAGGGTCAAAAGGGCTTAGCTGGGTGGTTCTTCCCAGATTGCAGCCAGCTGGGCTTACTCACCTGGGTGCGTTCAGCTGGCAGTTGGGCTGAGCTGGACAGTCCAAGAAGACTTTACTTACTTGTCAGATGTCTTCATGCTTCCTATGTAGGCTCTTCAAGTGGCTGGCTTGGGCTTCTTCACAGTATGGTGGCCCCAAAGTAGTCTGCTTTCTTGCATGGTGGCCGCCTGTCAAGAAGGAGGACACAAGAAGCTGCCTATCCTCTAAAAGCCTAGATTGAGAAGTCAGAGAACATCATTTCTGCGTTCTACCAGTCATAGAGAATCACGGGGAGCCCAGACCCAATGGTTGGGAAATGAACTCTACCTCTGGAAAGGAGAAGTGATGTGGGGTACAAGGAAGGAAAAAATTAGTGGCAGCCATCTCTCAAGACCATCTGCCAGCTACATCTATATTAGGCAATTTATCCCTCCATGTAATTAGTTAGAAATATTTTTGCCAGGGTATATGGTCTACTTTGGTGTATGATCTGTTGATGCTTGAGAAGAATATGTACTCTGCTGTGTTGGGTAGAATGTTGTGTAAATGTCAATTAGATCTTGGTACTGATGTTTTTTTTTTAATGTTGGTATTAATGATTTTCTGTCTAATTTGTCTTTTTAATTGATGTGTTGAAGTCTCCAACTAGAGTTGTGGAGTTGCCTATCTTTTCTTTCAGTTTTTTTTTCAGTTTTTACTATGCATATTTTATGGTTCTGTCATTTGATGTATACACATTTAAGCTTAATATGTCTTCCTGGTGAGGCAGGGGCTCCTTGATAGTGCTGGGCAGGGTTTATGAGTTCAGCTCCTAAGTTTCTATGGATACCACCCAGCCTGGTCAAGGAGGGGTACCTTAAGCAGTGTTCCCCACAGCCCCCCACTGACACATTGAGGAGATGGTTTCATTACTGCTGAGCAGTGGTTAAATTCCTGACTCTCCCCTAGGTCTCCTCCAACAACACCCCAATAAGGAGGCAATGGGGTCCTCTATTATTGCTGAGAGAAAGCGGAGGTCCAGGCTCCCCACATAGTCTCCACTGACACAGCAGGGTGCTAGGGTGCCATTGCTATAAATTCTAGGTCCTCATTTGGCCTTCTCTGACACCACCCAGTGATGAAGACATAGATTGGGGTACCTCATTAGAGCTCAGCAAGTATGGAAGTCTAGGCTCTTCACACAGGTTTTGATGATGGTGAGGGGTGGGGAGTCATTTTTCCTGTGGAGTCTGGCTGACATAGAGTGGTTACTGTCTAAAAATTTTCTGTCTTGGTAAGCTGTCTCTCTCCCAGTCCTTTGACACAGACAGCTGGCTTTATTGAGGTCTTATGTCACTCTGCCTGTTTCTCTCCACCCTATATTTGGGGAGTTTTTTTGTAGATTTTATTTATTCACGAGAGACACAGAGAGAGAGAGAATGGCAGAGACACAGGCAGAGGGAGAAGCAGGCTCCATGCAGGGAGCCCAATGTGGGACTTGATCCCGGTACTCTGAGATCACGCCCTGAACCAAAGGCAGACACTCAACCGATGAGCCACCCAGGTGTCCCTCTCCACCTTATATTTGTATTTCAGGAGGTTTAGGTATACTTAGGAGGAATAGGGAAAAGTGTATCTACTCCAATTTCCAGAAGCAGATGGAAGTTTCTTCTTAATACAATAAAATTTATCAGACCTATTTTATGCCTTTTAACTTTGAGTGATAGGAAAGATGTCCTCATTCCAAGGTCATAAAGAAATTTGTCATGTGATCTTCTAGTAATTTTATGATCTCATTTTTTAATACAAAATTTGATCCATTTGATACTCGTCATCATGAGCATTGTGAGGTATGAACACAACTTTATATTTTTCAAAATGGCTAACCAGTCTTTCCAACAGTTGCTGCTATTTAATGTATAGATATGTCTATCTTTACTATATTAGGAGTACACCTCTAGAAGCATCTGGGTGACTCAGTCAGTTAAGTGTTTGCCTTTCGCTCAGGTTATGATCCTGGGATCCTAGAATCGAGCTCCACATCAGATTCTCTGCTCAGCTAGGAGTTTGCTTCTCCTTCCTCATCTGCCTTTCCTCTCCCCTGGTGCACAATCCCTCTCTTTCTTTCAAATAAATAAAATATTTTAATTAAAAAAAATAGTACACCTCTAATTTTTTTAGCATTTAGCTATTATGCCTTGCTTATTCTTTTATTTTTAACTTTTCTTAATCTTTGTTTTAGACTTGTCTGTAGTGTGCAACACACAGGTTTTATTTTGTGATCTAATCTGAAAATCTCTTAAAAGATGAGTTTAGTGCATTTATAATTAATAATACAAAATATGTTTCTTCTTGGTTCTGTTATATAGTGTACTTGCCTACTACATATACATTAAATTATTTTATTATTGTTCTAATTTTGGCAAGGTTTGTATTTTTATTTTGCTAATTACTAAAATTATGCGTAAAGGATGCCTGGCTGGCTCAGTTGGAAGAGCATGAGATTCTTGATTCTTTTTGGGTGTCGAGATTACTTAAATATTTAAAAATAATAAAAAAATAAACTAAAATTATGCAATAATTATATGTTAAATCTTTTTCTCCCGGGTTCTGTGTCTCCAGGACCTGAAACTGAGAGCCATGAGTCAGTCTGCCACAGTGTTGCTGGAGCTGCTGGAGCACTGGAATGGAGCCCGTTAGCCACCACCAGATTAACAGGCCATGAACAGTGCCCATACGTTAAATCTTTATATAACAACTCTTGCCTCCTTCTTTTTCAGATATTCTTTATCTCCCCACTATGAATGGAGTGGGGGGAAGGGTGCTTCTAGCCCTCTCTTTCCCATTCTCTCCCTGTCCTCTACATCCCAATTTAGGACATTTATTTTCTTTTTCTTTACTTTGCTTGCCTAACGGTTTCTTCATCTTTGTTTACCTTTGACTTAAGTGTGCTTAAAATCCTACTGCCTGGGGATACCTGGGTGGCGCAGCGGTTTAGCGCCTGCCTTTGGCCCAGGGCGCGATTCTGGAGACCCGGGATCGAGTCCCACGTCGGGCTCCCGGTGCATGGAGCCTGCTTCTCCCTCTGCCTGTGTCTCTGCCTCTCTCTCTCTCTCCTCTCTCCTCTCTCTCTGACTATCATAAATAAATAAGAAAAAAATCCTACTGCCTGATTTGCTAGTTTTAAAAATACCTTTAACTCTTAACTATAGAGAACACACTGATGGTTACCAGCGGGGAGATAGGTGGGGGGATGGGGTAAACAGGTGATGGGGATGAAGGAGGGCACTTGTCACCATGAGCACCGAGTGATGTAGGGAAGTGTTCAATCACTATATTGCACACCTAAAACTAATAGTACACTGTATGTTAACTAAACTAGAATCAAAATTTAAAACTTGATTAAAAAGTAAATAATAGGGGCACCCTGGTGGCTCAGGAGGTTAACCGGCTGCCTTTGGCTCAGGTCATGATCCCAGGATCCTGGGATGGAGTCCCATGGGCTCTCTGCTCAGCAGGGAGCCTCCTTCTCCCTCTTCTTCTGCCCCTCCCCCTGCTTGTGCTCTCTCGCTCTGTCAAATAAATAAAATCTTTATTTCTTTTTTTAATTTATTTGGTTTCTTGGACAAGTGCTCAAGGGAACCCTGTGGTTGGTTATTGAATGTTTAACACTTGTCTCTAGCCCTCATACAGTTTAACTTGACTAATAACCCTTGGCTCACATTTTCTCTTATTGGCAATCTTGTGGCTGTTACCCTGCTGTCTTCTGACTCTGTGTTGACTTTGAGCAATGGAGAAGTGTGATGCCAGCTGATTTTCTTTCCCTCAAGTAACAGTTTTGCCTGACTGTGCAAAAGTCTTTATCTTTAAAGTCCAATCATTTTCTAAGATAGGTATTAACATTGACATTCTGTGTCAATTTTCTCTGGAATACATTGTGCTTTCTCAATGTATAGATTAAAATCTGTGTTTCAGGAAGCTTTCTTAAACCCTTTTTTAAATGTTGGTTTTGATTCACTCTTTTGGTTTCTTCCTCATAAATTCCAATAATGCATCTATTGGGTCTCCCTTATCTGTTTTCTAAACCTATCACTTGCTATTTAAAGATAATTTTTAATTGATTTATGTTGTGTTAAGATTTATATAAAATAATATTTAAAATTATACCCATTTTTAAATTTTTTAAGATTTTATTTATTTATTGTAGAGAGAATGAGAGAGAGCATGAGAGAGTAAGAGAATCTCAAGCAGACTCCCCATTGAGCACAGAGCCCAACATGGGGCTTGATCTCAGGACCCTGAGATCATGACCTGAGTGAAATCAAGAATCAGATGCTTAGGGGATCCCTGGGTGGCTCAGCAGTTTAGTGCCTGCTTTTGGCCCAGGGCGTGATCCTGGAGTCCCGGAATCGAGTCTCACATCGGGCTCCTTGCATGGAGCCTGCTTCTCCCTCCACCTGTGTCTCTGCCTCTCTCTCTCTCTCTCTCTCTCTCTCTCTCTCTGTCTCTCTCATGAATGAATAAATAAAATATGTTTTAAAAAAAAGAATCAGATGCTTAGGGACGACTGGGTGGTTCAGCGGTTGAGTGTCTACCTTTGGCTCAGGGTGTGATTCGGGGATCTGGGATTGAGTCCCACATCGGGCTCCTTGCAGGAAGCCTGCTTCTCCCTCTGCCTGTGTCTCTGCCTTCTCTCTGTGTGTCTCCCATGAATAGATAAATCCCCCCCAGAAAAAGAATAAGATGCTTAGCTGACTGGGCCACCCAGGTACCCCTGTTCATTTCTGAAATTGTTTTGGTTTTTCTTCTATTTCCTAACTTCTACTAGTCCCTAATATCCACCCACTATCCACCCATCTCTTTCTCTCTGGCTATTTCTATCCCAATGTCCTAAATTTCTGCTTTGTAATCTTCATCATGGCTTCAACTACTTAACTAAGGTATTTAGTAGTAGTACTAGTAGTAGTAGTAGTAGTAGTAGTAGTAGTAGTAGTATGTGTTGGAAGGTTAGGGTACAATTTCCCCCACTTTTGAAAACATTTTTTTAAGATTTTACTTAATTTGACAGAGAGAGAGAACAAGCACAGACATAGGCAGAAGAAGAAGCAGGCTCCCTCCTGGAAGCCTGATGCAGAACTCAATCCCAGGACCCCAGGATCACACCCTGAGCTGAAGGCAGACACTCAGCCACTGAGCCAGCCAGGTGCTCCTAAATAAATAAAATCTTAAAAAAATAAATAAATAAAGACCCTGGGAAAAAATAGCAAAGTAAAACTAAAAGAGGATTCATTCCCAAGCTCTGAGACCCTTCAACAGCCCCTCCAGCAGCTGGGTGCCCCCGGGGATCTTGGGCATGCTTTCCAGAGATGCATCCTCTTCCCAAAGGGGTTCTTTCTGGGTTGGCCACTTCTGAGTGCCCTCCTAGCCCACCCACTCCTTCTCACCTCTTCCCTTTGATTTTCAATCCTATTCACAGCAGTGCCTCCTCAGGGAAGAGCCCTCACCTTCCAGGATCTGCCCCCTCAGATTCCTCCTCATCCCCCCTTCCTGTCCTGCTGCCCCACTGTGACAGCTTTGGGCTACAGTTAAATGTCATTTGAGTCTTGGAGCTTTCTTCTGTCTCCTAGATTCATTAATGGTGCAGTTTTGTGTTGTCATGGGTGGGGGAGGCAGGTGTCAGACAGAAACGAAGAGATCTAGAACTCAGCTCCTGCCTGAACCCCTCAGGTGGTCCAAGGAGCTTCATCACCAAGTAACTCCATCTTGCCCACAGCTCACTTGGGAAGGCACAGGGAGCCGTCCCAGCCCATGGTACTGGGGGGCCCTAGGCTGCCCTAATGTGGCTTTCTCACCAAGGAGCTGAGGATACTGCCCTCTTGCATGCTTAGCACCACATTTTTCTTGGATTTTTTTTAAGATTTTATTTATTTGAGAGAGAGAGAGAGAGAGTGTGTGTGTGTGTGTGTGTGCGCGCGCGCACACACACACACAGCAGAGGAAGATGGAGAAGCAGGCTCTCTGCTGAGAGGGGAGCCCAACATAGGACTCAATCTCAGGACCTTAGGATCATGACCTGACCTGAAGGCAGACACTTCACTGACTGAGCCACCCAGGCACTCCTTTTTCTGGGATTATTGAACCAGGATGCAATACTGCAGTTCAGTTCTGATGCTAACCATCAAGAACTAGCATCAGACTCTGCAAGTTAAAGCACAGACCCCAACAAGATTTCTCTGACTTCAGATGCAAGCTGCAAGTTCAGGGGTTCCCAGGCCACCTGCACTTCTGACCAGCTGGTTACAGATTTAGGAGTTCTCAAGATCCCCTCGGTTTCACTAATTCACTCAAGTGGTTCACAGAACTTAGGAAAGTACTAGGCTTATAGTTTTATTATAAAGGATATAAATCAGAAGAACCAGCCAAATGAAGAGACACATTAAGGCAAGGTCTCAGAAAGACCCAAACACTGGGCTTACATGTCTTCTCTCCCGGCATCAGGATACAACACCCTCCCTGCACTTAGAGGCATTCACCAACCAAGAAGCTTACCTGAACCTCAATGTCTAGAGTATTTTTGTTTTTGTTTTTATTTTTATTTTTATTTATTTATTTGAGAGAAACAGAGAGAGAGCAGGAGTAGGGGTAGGAATATGGGGAGAGGGAGAAGTGACTCCCCACTGAGCAGGGAGCCTGATGCTGGACTCAGTCCCAGGACCCTGAGATCATGACCTGAGCTGAAAGCAGATACTTAACCGATTGAGCCACCCAGGCCCCACTCAATATCTAGAGTTTTCATTAGGGTTTCATTACGTGGATATGGTTGATTGGATCATTATCCATGTGATTAAATGTAACCTCCAGCCCCTCTTCTATCCCCTAGCTCAAAGCCCTAAGCCTCTAATCACAAGGCTGGTCTTCCCCGAGTCATTGCCTTAGCATAAACTCAGGTGTGATCCAAGGGCCACCATGAATAACAAAAACTCTCCCATCACTCAGAAATTCCCAGCCCTCAGAAGCTTCATCCCAGAAACCCAAGACAAAAAGCAGATGAATTCTTTATTACAGCACATAAGGACTTTCGGGTGACTGTGCCCAGAACAGTGGGAGGCTAAAACCTGTCATCAGAGCAGCCAAAGAGACCAAGAAAAAGGCCCCAGAAAGAAAGGATGGCAGACAGGAGAGCTGTTTCCATAAAGAGCTACATAAAGAGCTGTCTTGAGACTTGTTCCTCTGGCCTCAGAAGGCAAACCAGAAACGAGCAATTCTAGGTCCGGGAGACAAGTTGCTCATTAGGGAAACTGTTCTTCCTGTTTGAAGTGATTTCAGAGAGTGCCTGCCATCCCTGCAAGTGTCCTGGGGCTCCCATGTGTTAGGAAGAAAGATTCTTTCTGAAAGAAAGCCCCTGCTCTGGGGGAAGGGACCAGGTGACTTCCAACATTTCCTGCAAATCACAAGAGCCTAGCGCCGTGCCCAGATACTCCACACACACCCAGTTAACAGTCAATCTGTGTCACTGCCCTCCAGGTCTTGGCATATTATGGGGTGGGGGAGATAGAGGAGTACCCGGGAGCCCACCCTCATATACAACAGGTTGCAGCATGAGATTGAGTCATAGACAAAGTCTGCAAAAGGCCCCCTCGGAAGGACTCACTGGTCCTCTTTCATCCTCACGTCTCTCCTTGCCATGGACTGTGTCTACTCGGCTCTTTCCCCATAGCACTCTTATCCTCAAAT